ATATATACCATCAAAGCAAATCTGAAAATACGAAAGTTTCGAGTGGGAAAAATATTTAAAATTTCTTGATGTTCCTAATTATACTTGGATAAGCTAAGAGTGCACCACTGCAAGGATGAAAGTATATCTTAGGTCAGAACCCCAAGGATAGTTGGCAGCGACACTTGATTTAGACATAGATTTGAAAGGAAGGAAATTTTTACTGTATCCCTGTACCCTTGGTACTGGTTAGTGACAGACCACGGGATTTTCAATTCCATAGATTTGACGAGAACGTATCTCGCATATACTTGGCAGATCTTACAAGAGGATCGAACCCCCGACTCCTCCAGACCAGAGTTCAATTTTCTAACTACTGGAGGCTACCCCGCCCCATTATATTATCTTAGTGACTATACTTAAAATTTTAATATCGAATAGGAATGAAATTTACCATTTTCGATGAAGTTATTATTAGTTCTCCTTTCTGATAACTATATTAATCTTGTGTACTAATTAAATTGATATAAGATTCACGGTAAAAATTTTAATTTAATTCCGGATTTTAGGGATTTTAAATATGACTATAATTTATATATTTTATATGCAAATATAATTAAAATAAATAACCTATATTTTATTTGAAAATATTATCAAATTTAACTCATAAATATTCAATAGAAGCTTTGCTTTCAAAGAAGCATAATTATGCACACAAAAAGTAAATTTTCCGTAAATTGTAAGAGAAACAAAGATTTTTACAAAAAATCCAATTACCTTATCATTTAAATTAAAAATTAATGAAAAGTTTTTTAAAATATTTTAGCCTGTTTGTACATTTTGCACGTTAAACTAAATGTCATTTATTTATTTTTTAAAAAAAAATCCAATGACACGCTAAAAAAAATATCCTAAAGTTTAAGGCTTTATATGTGTTTAAATGTTCCAGATCCATGAGTATAAGAATCCAGTTTCAGGTTTGAAATCAATAACAAAACAACTTTTAAACAAACTTGAAAAACTCATGTAAAACATGATTTCCCACACTTAAAAATATTTACATAAAAACATCCAACGGGATCGATAAGGAGACGCTAGAAAACTGAAACATATGCTTTTTTTTTAAGTGTTTCAGCCACAAAATGCATTTATGCTTAATCAGAAATGGAACTGTGATTTTGGTTTGGTATTAAATTCACAATTACAAAACATTAGCACATTTAAGCATCTATTAAGGTGGGTTAGAGTTGAAAGTTCTCTTACTCGCCATCATCAATGAAATATTCGATCAACAATAAACACTTTATTTTTTCCACTAAACATGGGTTGGAATCGCTAGTTCTCTTATTCACCATCGTCAATAAAATATTCGATCAACAATAAACGGTTTCTTTTTTTCACAAAACATGGGTTGGAATCGCTTGTTCTCTTATTCGCCATCGTCAATAAAGTATTCGATCAACAATAAACAGTTTCTTTTTTCATTAAACATAGGTTGGAATCGCAAGTTCCCTTATTCGCCATCGTCAATAAAATATTCGATCAACAATAAACAGTTTCTTTTTTTCACTAAACATGGGTTGGAATCGCTTGTTCCATTATTCGCCATCGTCAATAAAATATTCGATCAGCAATAAACAGTTTCTTTTTTTCACTAAACATGGGTTGGAATCGCTTGTTCTCTTATTCGCCATGGTCAATAAAATTTTCGACCATTAATAAATAAATTCTTTCTTCATTAAGCATTGGTTGGAATCGCAAGTTCTCTTATTCTCCATCGTCAATATATGTGACATCAATAAATAATATATTTTTTTATTAAATGTAGGTTGGAGTTGCAAGTTCTCTTATTCAACATCGCCAATAAAATATTTGACCATTAATAAACAATTTTTTTCTTTATTACTCGAAGGTTGTAGTCGAAAGTTCCATTACTTTCGCTCGTCATTAAAATATCAGACATCAATAACTAATTACTTTTTTTCATTAAACGTAGGTTGGAGTGGCAAGTTCTCTTCTTCGTCATCGTCTGCTTGATCAAGAGAAACATCCCTGCGACCGTAACTTTGTCGTCCTTTGCATTGAAGCTACAAGTCAAGATGATTTTCGGAAACGAAGGAGGCGTACTCTGAGGGGCTTAGATGAAGGAGATGAAATATTATCACCTCACGCTTATGAAAAACTATTGAGAAGATTAGTTAAATCCTAAGTTAACATCTTTTATAGAACAATAAAGTTTTGCTCATCGACAGAAGTATGTCTCGATGTGTGATAAGTTCCATTTTATTAAAATTTTATTCCTTGCAAATTTATTTCTAATAAAAAATTTAAATTTTAAAATTTTATTATTTTAAAAATTTTGATAGCTGTTAAAATATTTTACTTTAAATTAAGTATGCAAGTCCTTCTAAGCAATAGGTTAAATATATCTATGCGATAGGTTAAACCTTAACTTGATATATGCTAAGTTTAATAGACTGGAACTGTATGTGTGTGGCATTTTATTGCTGCAAATTGTTTTCTATTAACAAAATTGAGTTAAAAAATTATTAATATTTTTTAAGTTTTTAACATTTTGATGGGTGTTAAAAATATTATATTTTGTTTCATATTAATAAATCAATATTAATTACATTAATACATCGTCACATCAATGTTGTTTACAATAATATATCGATCTCTTATCAACAAAAATTAATCATGTTGTGAGAAAAGTTTCAGTTTGGTAAATAAAACGAATTTATTAACATTTTGTTTCTTCAAATTTGTTTCTAATAGCAAAAGAAATGTAAAAATACTAATGTTTCCACAATTTTTAACATTTTGATAAATGTTCAAAAAATATAACGTTTTTAATATTTTTTCTACAAATCATAAAAAATTTACATGCATTTGAGTATATTATTTAATTAAAACCGTGATATTTTTAATGTAAAATGTTATTTAAGTAAGTAAGTATTTATTTTTTAATTTTATCTCCTACGGTTACATATCTTGGCTTTGTTTTCTTTTAAATTTCTCTAATAAAAGTTGTTTTGAAATTTCTTTCAATTTTTTTTTAATTTGATTTTACTGAAATTAAATTTTTTAGGCATATTTTTAGGAAATATCAGAATTTAGTTTGATTAATTAAGAAATGACTTTAATAATAAAAAACACAATTCCATTATCCAAAAGAACTTTGTTAAATGTAAGAAGAAAGGCATTTTATTAATCTGACAAACTTTACAATTTTGTAAAAAAGTTAGTGAATGAACGAAGGATTCTTATTCGATTCAATTTTTTTACAAACATTTATACCACGATTTTCAATGTTTTTACTTTATAAATTCTTTTTACAAAAACAGAGAATTCTTCTGATAAAAATAAAGAGTATTTAAAAACATTTATAAATTCCATATTGTCTTCTATTATGCTAATTATATTATAAAAAAAAAAAGAAAAAAAAATTATTCGAAGCAAACTTGATGCCAATCCTACATCATTTTTTTTGTCATTTATGCTAGACTTTTTTTTTCTTTTTCTTTTTGCAAATTTCAATCGTTGTTTTCTTTTGAATTTCTCACGTAAAGGTTGTTTTTAAATTTCTTTCAATTTTTTTTAAGTTTGTTTTTTACTGAAATAAATTTTTTAAGTATATTTTAAAGAAATATCAGAATTTAGTTTGATCAATTAAAAATATATCAATATAAAAAATGTAGTCAAAACAATAGTCAATATTAAAAAGAAGTTTTGAAATTTTATAAATGTTTGATATTCTGGTTTTTAAGGAGTTTAAAACTTTATGAAGTTTTTAAATTTCTTAAAACCAAATTGTACAGAGGGATTTTTTTAATTTAGTAAAATATTTATCACTTTTTTTAAATTCATCTTTATTTATTTGAAACGTTTTTAATGTCCAATTGATAACATTCATTTGTAATGTTAATATCATTGCCATCTTTTATACTTTTATATAAATACCTAAATGCCAATTTATTTTTTTATTTAATGTAGCTCTTTAATTTTAACGTAAAACATAGTGAAAAATTTTAATTGTTAATTATTGTTTCGTGGTTTGATATTGCCAAAAATCTATTTGACATGCCTTTTTTACTAATTTTCAATATTTATTTTTAATATTTTCTTCTAAAGATCTTGCTTCATTTATGTGAAAAGTTTTTAATTACCAATTTGTATCATTCATTTGTAATATGAGGTATTGACGTCATTTCTACTCTTATATAAATGCCTAAATGCCAATTTATTTTTGATTTAATGTAACTTTTTAATTTTAACGTAAAACATAGTGAAAAATAATTAATTAAATATTTTTTGGTTTGATATAGACGAAAAGTATTCAAGATGCTTGTTATTGATTTTTAATACTTATCGCAATAATATAAACTACTGATTTCTAATTAAAAGTAATGGGCAATTATTTATAAGTTGAAGTTCATAAGTTGTTATTAGTTGATGTTTATAATGTTTATAAGTTGATATTTATATATACACTTTTGTAATTCACCGGTTTTTTAAACCACTATTTGTAATTATATTTGCAAGCATCCAACGTTTGTATTATAGATTAGAAGATCATAAAAATTACTAGTAAAAATAAGGAACCAAATCTTCTAAACAATCCTTACATATTTAGATAGTTAACACCAAATACCAAAGTTAGCTTTCCGCAAAATTGTCTTTATGCTTACCGTGGCAATACAAAGCAGAGAGGATTTGTCGTGAAAAAAATGCATGTGTATGTAAGCTACGCTATAGAAGTAATTAGTTTATATCAACAAGTGACAGAAGAATTGGAATCGTTTGATGAATCAAAGAAAGGTCCCCAATTAATTCGATGTAAGCTTGAAGCTAATGAAAAAAATTTAAATGCTTTTAAGCATTACATCTCATACAAAAACGACTTGCACCTTGAGAAGAAGAATACCTTTGAAATCACGCGTTTGGGACTAATCACTCGATTGTGCATGTTGTGCACGCTTGTGTGACATGTTAGCGTTGCAGCTATTTTAGCTTGGTTTATTATCACGCTGAATAAATTTTCTGATCAAATTTTAATTGGATAGCTGCAACTGACGTCACGCTTGTGAGTCGAATCTGATTATCTGCTGTATTGCGGCATAAACAAATGTCACGATTTACCCACGCATGACGTCACTTGCAGGTATCGAATTTGCAAATTTTTGAATGAGGTTCAGAACGAAATGCATTTTTCGTACCAAATATTTGATTACATTATCATAATCAAAAAATTAACTCACAGCTTTATTGGTATTAAGCGTGTCCCATTCTTAGTGAAATATCTTCAAATTGTAATTGCAATTTTTAATCAGTTCTTTCACCATCTACGTACACTCATTTACTTCATAATCCCTGATGTTGATGAATAATTCGTTTACTTTTGATGATTATTTCATCATTATGATTCTTCATCTTTTATTCTTAACTTCCTTTATGCATACGATATTTTTCACTTTATTGGGCTTTATTCTGATATTATGAAAATATTGTGACTCATAATCTTTTATGAATTAAATTTTCCAAAACCTTATTTATATGAATGTATAATAAGAGAAAAATGTTATTTATAAATGAACTTCGTGAAAATTATTTATATTTGAACAAATGAAATTAGAAAAGGACCTTAACATTTGAAAACATAGCCGAGTTTGCAACAAAAAAAATGGACTTTTTGCGAAGTTATGCAAACAGCTAAGATTTTAGGAATGGAAATGGCAAAAATTTATCTCCGGATTGACTTATTTTAGTTAAAATATTCTGGTGTCCCATGACTCTCTCCGCTGCTCTGATCCCAGCTTTATTTGACTCTTTTGGTTGGGAAGTTGGACCACCCCTTCCCTACAGTCCAGACCTTGCAGGCATTGATTTTAATCCTTCCCGATATTTCAAACATCATATTAGCGGCAATCACTACAACGATGACGAATGCGTGAAAACGGCCGTGACCCGTTGGTTAACTGGGCAGGCGGCAAGTTTGTATGAAGACGTTATTCTAAATCTAGTTGTAAGGTATAATAAGTGTTTAAAAAGAACTTAGTAACTATGCTGGGAAAAAAAGATATGTAAAATCTGAAAATAAATTTGCTTCTTAAAAATTTTCTTCCATTTGTTTTTTTTTTTTTTTCGAAATTGCACCTTATTTAAAAAAAACAACCCTCGTACTATCATTGGAAAAATATAAAATTAAAAAGAATTCAAAAAAAAATTTTAAAAAAAGCTAGCAACTTTAAGGCATAATATTAAAACAAAACAAACATTAAAACATTCCCTTTTCTAGATTTTCTTAAAATTTAGCCATATCAATTGTACTAATATTAATGTTAATGTATGAATGAAAAGATAAATTTTAAACTAATATACGATTTAATTTTGTTCAAATTTGTTATTCAGCCAATTGGATAACAACAAATGATTTCCACAATGTGCAGCTGAATACTTAAACCATACTTAATTAGACAAAGGATTAATTTAAATTACTTTATTTTTATTTCCCCCTGGTCATCAACATCCGGGTTCTACCTGTCATACAAAATTTTATATATTGTTGTACGTTAATACAGAAACCACTTTGTATTATTGTAGTGTTTTTTGTATCATTTTTTACTGTGTGTAATAGAATGTGTGGTCTTAGAATGTAAGGATTTTCGATACGTAATGTACTCTGTTTTTTGGATGTTTTAGAATCCTATTGATCCTAAGCAATAAAATGATTTTACCCTATATTTTTCTTCTCTTTTATTTAATGAAGTAAAGTTAAAAAAAAGCCTAGAACGTTTTCCTATTAAAAATATTTATTTAAAAAAGGAAAATATTTGTTAAATATTTTTTAAAAAGTCATTAATTAAAAACAAATAAATATGTTAATTGCTCTGCAATCTATTCATACAGAGCTACAGCAAGTAGTATTATATTTAAGAGTACTGTTGTTATAAGTAATGAGTAGTATGCACAATATTTAACGTCGACAAATATATTTTATAGACTTCGCAATCTATTTAAAATGTATATATACACAGTCCAGTCACATTAATGTGACCACCCCCTATATTCGACGTCAACGTGAAATAACCTATCACAGAAGGCAGGTGGCAGCATATTACAGTAGAGTGCATGTAAAGGATGTCCTAGGGCATCGGAAAGCATTTCAAGCGTTGGCGTAATGCAAAAACGTAGCGATTTATCCGACGTCCAAAAGGGTATGATTATTGGCTTTCGGGCCAAGTGTGGAAGCATTTCGGAAACGGCCAATTTTGTGAACTGTTTTCGTACCACCGTGTTGAAAGTATACCGTGCATGGTAAAATGGCACTATCCAAAATCAGCGGCGTGCCACATGCGGTGCACCACGGGCTATAGATGGCAGAGGCGAAGGAAAGCTACGGAGNCCTTGTAATTTTGAACCCAATCCGGAAGACAAGGGAACTCCTGGATCGAGTATTGGGAGAAATTTGCTTTCGTGGAGGACTTTTTGATGATGCTAACCAGCATTTGCGTTACACGGAGAGGAAAACTACTCACGGTTAGCTCGACGGCAAGGGGATTCTAACCCATGATCCGTCTACCACTAATGATATTTTAAGTCAGCACTGTGGTCAGTGCGAGCCGGGAGCAGAATTTGTATCGACCAGCTACGGCAGGGAATCGAACCTGGGTTATTTCCTTGGGATGTAAACACTTCGACTCTTAGGGATGCGCTAGCCAACTGGAAAAT